GAAGAAAGTGAAGGTACATTGATAAAATAATATGTGTACACTACTGTTTAAAAGTTTGGGGTCAGTAGGATTTTGTTTTGAAATAAATTATTACTTTTATTCATTAAGGATTAAATTGATCAAAAGTGACCATAAAGACATTTATAATGTTACAAAAGATTTCTATGTCAAATTAATGCTGTGCTTTTAAACTTTCTGTTCATCAAAGAATTTCAAACAAAACAAAATTTATTATGGTTTCCACAAAAATATGAAGCTGTTTTCAACATTTATAATAATGAGAAATGTTTCTTGAGCAACAAATCAGCATATTAGAATGATTTCTGAAGGATAATGTGACACTGAAGACTGGAGGAATGATGCTGAAAATTCAGCTGCGCATCACAGAAATACATTACATTTTACAATATACTCACATAGAACACACTTATTTTAAATTGTAATAATATTTTACAATGTTGCAGTTTTTGCTGTATTTTTAATCAAATAAATGCAGCCTTGGTGAGCAGAAGAGACTTCGTTTAAAAGGATTAAAAAAGATCAAAAAGCCAGAATAAGGAATATTTATATATATATATGTAAAATTAGAATATGGGTTAAAAAAATATATTTTAAATTGTTCATATTTAATTGTCCTTTAATGGCAGAATTTAAAATTATGTTTGTGCTTTTCCTTTAATAGCTTAAATTGCACATGAAATGCAATTTGCGATGTATTTAATTTACATAATGTCATGTATTTTCTGATGAAATGGAATATTCTGGGACATAACGTAGGCCAGGACTTGATTTATATTCATCTGATTTTATTAAATTGTGATTACGATTTTTAATCTGGTCACATTAGCAGAAAAGCAGAGAACGTTATTGCATTCTGATGCAAGATTATAAATCTGTTTTTGATATGTGCGCACATGACTTTTATTAATAGAATATATTTATTCATTTTGATTTCATGTTGGTGTGAAGTCAGACCGAGTCTCTCGTGTCGTTTCAGACTCGATTCTGCACCAGCTTTTCATCGTTCGGTTCCTGGGCTCCATGGAGGTGAAGGCCACAGAGAGCGCAGACGTCATCTATGAGACCATGAGGCAGATCCTGGCAGCCCGAGCCATTCACAACATCTTCAGGATGACCGAGTCTCATCTGCTCGTCACGTGTGAATGCCTCAAGTGAGTTTTGGCATTTGTTTGAACTGATCCTGTCTCAGTCCAAGTCATTAAATGTGTCGAGCATCACTTTGGGGTCGTGATTTGAACAAACCCCAAACCAAAATATTGAACCCATATTGTGGCATTGAGTTTTGCACAGACTCACGAGAATGTGAAAATCATGTGTTTTTAAAGATTTTGGTTTTTTATGTAAGTTGTAGTATTATTGATTTATAATTGATTTATTTACATTACATATATAATTACAAATTCTTATATTAATAATTTTATATTACATTATTATAAAATATTACTATAATATATACTTATAATATTATATTAATATATTACATTATACTATATAGTATACATAAACATTTTAGTATACTTAAAAATATATAATTTATTCTTACATTAATAATTTAATGTTATATAATATTATAATAATATTACTATAATAATATATATTTATATTACTATATAATGTATAATATTAATTTATATTAAGCTATAATTTACACTCACACACCCATATTATTGTTATTATATAAATAAATATTGTCATATATTATTATAATGAGTTATGCTATAATTTATTTACTTTTTAAAAATTGTTTTATTTTAAGTCTATATAAATATATATTTAAAAATCATTAGATTGTAATTATAACAAAATATTATATTATCTATTTCATTTTATTTATTTTTATAAACCTTTTATTTTATACTTTTAATAAGGACATGTGCACATACACCTGATTTAAACAAAAATATGGATATTTTAGAGATTGTTTTAAGCTCATCTTGCTCTTGGATATTAGATCTGTGACAGTGTAGGACTGGCGAAGCAGATCGCCCTCCACTCTGAGATGGTGAGAAAACTCTTCATTTATTTGATTTCAAATGACTCGATCTGTGCAGAAATGCCAGGTCAAATAAAATTGATAATGCCGATGATATGCACGAAGATGCATGTTTTTTTTTTGTTTCCTGACAGGACCGCAACGCCACACAGAAACAGAGAGAGCTGGACAAAGCCAAGGAGAAACAACAGGAAGAACTTCATAAACAAAAACAGATAGAGAAGGTAAGGTAAACATTTGGGATCTGTACAATTTTTTTATGTTTCGGGCTGCATTTATGTGATTAAAAAATACAGTAAAAACAGTAATATTGTGAAATAATTTTACAATTTAAATTAACTGTTTTTTATATGAATATATAGTAAAATGTAATTTATTTCTGTGATCAAATCTGTATTTTCAGCATTACTCCAGTCTTCAGTGTCACATGATCTTCAGAAATCATTCTAATATGCTGATTTGCTGCTCAAGAAACATTTCTGATTACTATCAATAAACATTTTTGTGGAAACTGTGATATGTATTTTTTCGGGTTCAGGAAAAGAACAGCATTTATTTGAAAAATAAATATTTTGTAACATTATAAATGTATTTACTGTCACTTTAGGTTAATTTAATGCATCCTTGCTGAATAAAAGTATTAATTTCTTTAAAAAAAAAAAAAAACTGTGTTCTCAAAACTTACGGGATTTCGAAGAACAAAGCCGTTTGATAGCCGCATCGACTCGACCCGGCCAACCAGCTGCTGATGGACAGATCTTGGTCCTTAGCAACAGCCAATCAGAGGACAGCGACGAAATGTATTTACTGTCACTTTAGGTTAATTTAATGCATCCTTGCTGAATAAAAGTATTAATTTCTTTAAAAAAAAAAAAAAACTGTGTTCTCCAAACTTACAGGATCTCGAAGAACAAAGCCGTTTGATAGCCGCATCGACTCGACCCGGCCAACCAGCTGCTGATGGACAGATCTTGGTCCTTAGCAACAGCCAATCAGAGGACAGCGACGCAGGAGAGGAGGGGCAGAAAAAGGGCGAATCAGAGGCCTGATGGAAACCGTTCTGCGCTTGGGTTCCACGAATATCACTTCCTGTTCTTCAAGGGTTCTCCAGAGTGGCCTGCAGAAACGATTATGTCATATTGTGACTGCAAAATATGATAAAAAAAGAATTCATGCCGACACTTTGGGGAGAACCCCTCAAAAGTTGTTATTTGTAGGAATCCTGTATTTTTTACCATATCCGTTATTGAACTGCATTTGCTTTTAGAGGGTTTTATAAATGTATGCGTGTAAATGAATCCACTACCGTGATGAACTAAACCTGAGGAGATGCAAGGCGACATTTATTGCACGTGTGAATAATAACTGATTTAATACTGTATGTTGGGCTTCGTTTTCTGTTAAGGCTGCATGTGTTTTTAGTCATATCACATCACCGGTGACAGAATTCAGAGTGAATTTCACAAAACGTGTCAAGAACGTGATTTATTATGGTAATTAAAATAATACTAAATATCTTAATTGTCCTAAAACAGGCATTTTCTTTATGCAAATTAATTCTTTCTAAAATATGAGCTGTTCTTGATTGTTTCCGTCAGGTTCATCCTACTGCATTTCAAAATGATTTCATGAGGTTATATTTTCTTTGTAATTAATACAGTTCTGATTTTTTTTGTCTATAGGCTGTTTCACTTTTTTTTTTTAAATCTACAAACACACATCTGTTTGGTTTTTTTTACAGACAGTTTTGTAATCACTCAGTGTTTCTATCTCAACGCTTAAAAAAAAAACTTCTTTTTTTTTAAATCATGTGATCCAATGCCTTTAAACTTGGGATATAGTTTAATTTTTGTTATTCTTTGGTATTAGATGTTTGGAGCCTGCATTGCACAAAATGGCCCAATGTATTGAAATGCTTCAGCTTGTGGATAAAAGAAACAGGTGATGGAATTGCAAACTGAAATATTCATTTTTGCTCTTCTCCAAAAATCTGACATGGTGGAAGTTTTTTTGAGAATTAAATACTGTCTCAATAATTGATTTGGTCTATTTGATGAACGGTCTTTATGGTTCATATTCTGACACTTTCAGTTCCATTACAGTCTGTTATGGAGTCTGAAGCATTTAATTTGTAAGTGATTATTTCTAACCTTTAAGAAAATGTTTGTGTCTAAATGTCTTTCTACAAAATCAGTTGATGGATTTATGAGGTACAATGAAGATTGGTATTAAAATTTCTTTCAAATGAGCTGATGATCTTTGACTCACCTTACAGAACTTCTATTTGCTGAATTGTCTTAGAATTAGAATTTTTGAATGGGTGTGTTTTCTTCTTCAGATAATAAACAGGTATTGTTGTTACATCTACAGTAAATCCAATATTGAAAAGAATAAAAAGAAAAAAATATTAGCAAATAATAAATAAAAAAATTAATGAAAACATATAAAAGTAAGCTAAATTAAATAGTTATGTATTTTTTAAATGTCATTTTATTAAACTTTTTCAAATAACAGACGGGTATTACCATTGTTAAACAGGTACAATATATCCAAAATTAAAAAATTACAAAAAAATGTATAAAAGCAAACTAAAAATAAACTTAAATTTAAAATGAATAAGGGTTAATACATATATTTAGAGCATTTTAAGGCCCTCTTTTTTCATCATGTAATTTTTAAACTTACTATAAAAACACCAATTATTAGACACCACCAAAGTTAATATGATGTTCAAAAGCATTTTTAAGGCATGTCACACTGGCCTGGTTTTGGACACGTTTTTGTAGATTTTTCTGCGCTTGTTAAAACAGTGTTGTTTAATAATGGATAATATATTTTTAGAAATTCAGCAGGGGTGCTGAAGATATTTATTTATTTATTTTTTGTTAAGGTGTCAAGAGGTCACGTGTTTCCGAAGTGTCTAAGAATACATATTACCTAATAAACATATTGTTTTTAATTTCAAGTATTTGAAAACAACCTCAGCATGAGTTCCGTCAAACGTGTGCAACTGGATTACCTCTGTAAAATAAAGCGTGCATTGCTTGTACTGTAAGTTGAGTGATTTGATATTAATTTCTAATTGGTCTTCATTTGGTTTGCATTTAAACAAGTCTAATTGGTCATTTCTTTGCAAAACAATGGAGCCGCAGGGGCCGCGCTTGCGTCCTCGGTGCTCTCCGAGAGCCCAAGACAAATAAACAACAAGCAAGTCATTTATTAAAAGCAGCCAAGCAACCAAAAGAGATCAATTCGGCATTGAATGGGTCAATTATTACATGCTGCTTCCAGCAGGCAGCTATTGTGCTTTTGTGATCCGGAGCATCTTTCTCCATGCATGTCAAGAGAGAATGGGAATATTCAGCAGGATTAGTTTAAACAGCATTAGGCTTTATTATTATTGTAAACTCGTGTGCTAGAAAATAAGGTAAATAAGATTAGGCACTAGTTGACTGCTTTCTCATAATGCTGGAGTTACGGCACAAGCAAATGAAGAGAAGATAAATCCCGGGAACGGGGCCTAATTTTCTACCTGGTGAGTAAAAAGAATGGCACATCAGCCGTGTTTTGTCCCGTTCAAGCTTTAAGGGATTCAGTGTCTCTAGAAGATAACAGGTTGCTGCTTCAGGTTGGAAGGCCTCATTTGGACCCTGAATTACCTGCAGTCCAGGGGCCCCATGCGGAGGGCCGGCGATTCTCATGTAAAACATTCAGTCTCAGGCTTTAATTAGTGACGTTTCGAGGAGTGTGGAGCTATAAAGACGAGCCTCCAGCTCTCAGATGACACCAGAAGAAGAGGACAAGATCTCCAGATGGCTTCTCTCACAGTCAGCTCGCATCAGAACCTCTCGATGCCCAGACAGTCCACCTTCACCATCGACAGCATCCTGGGACTCGACAGACCGGACCAGAGAACCGTCCTGTCAGCACCTCACCGACCGTGGACAGGTAAAATAACTCGCACTATAGGCACAAATATATTTTAGAGATGTGTTTTCATATAGGCCTACTGTAAAGCCGAAATGAAAGCAACCTCAGTATGAGTTCCATCAAACTCTCCAAACTTGTGCAACTGGATTATACCTCAGTAAAATAAAGCGTACATTGCTTGAGTGATATATACAGTGGGTACGGAAAGTATTCAGACCCCCTTAAATTTTTCACTCTTTGTTATATTGCAGCCATTTGCTAAAATCATTTAAGTTAATTTTTTTCCTCATTAATGTACACACAGCACCCCATATTGACAGAAAAACACAGAATTGTTGACATTTTTGCAGATTTATTAAAAAAGAAAAACTGAAATATCACATAGTCCTAAGTATTCAGACCCTTTGCTGTGACACTCATATATTTAACTCAGGGGCTGTCCATTTCTTCTGATCAGCCTTGAGATGGTTCTACACCTTCATTTGAGTCCAGCTGTGGTTGATTATACTGATTGGACTTGATTAGCAAAGCCACACACCTGTCTATATAAGACCTTACAGCTCACAGTGCATGTCAGAGCAAATGAGAATCATGAGGTCAAAGGAACTGCCCGAAGAGCTCAGAGACAGAATTGTGGCAAGGCACAGATCTGGCCAAGGTTACAAAAAAAATTCTGCTGCACTTAAGGTTCCTAAGAGCACAGTGGCCTCCATAATCCTTAAATGGAAGACATTTGGGACGACCAGAACCCTTCCTAGAGCTGGCCAAACTGAGCTATCGG